ACAGCTGCAAAGTTTTGTGCTGCCCCCTTTTAACTACAACAACAATGAGAAACAGCAATGGTAAACCACCATTCTAACCCTGTACGCAATACCATTGGGCTTTTTAGTCCCCCCTAGCTAAAGAGTGTTGCCTAATATACCTAAGCTTACCCAACCGTGGGGTGATCGGTTCAACATTGATTCCTGTCCTAATTTTCTTCTTTTCTTCTCCTAGTTATAAAATGATTATGGTTATAATTCCAGCCATTTTGAATGAAAACTCTATAAACAAACTATATATAAATTGTCTGTTTTCTCTTTTTGATTATTTGCGATAGCAGAACCCAATATGCCCCTCAGATAACCCGTAATCTATGCTTCTCTTTAAACCAGATTTCCGCAATGGAGCATTCGGTCGCTTGATTCTGAGGCTTATGTCACGCCTGGTGCCTTTGATGAATTTTTTCCGTAGCCGTTATTTTGCTTATCCCGGAAATTAGCCAATAAAACAAATAGTTTACCTATATTATGCAATATTGCTATATATATACGAGTGAGTACGTCTCCCTAGCTGACAGTTGCCATATATTTTAACCACATGAGACTCGGGCGTATCAATTGATTCACGATCACTTCTACCTCACCAAGAATGTTTTTCTTCTGCACTGTATCGTTTTATACCGATAACCTTTCATATTTTTCATCTTTATTCATCCCTATACATATCTGCGCTAATGTTGTCATTCTACGGAAATGTATCACTCTGTTTATTAGTGACCTTGAAGTTGAAAGTGGGTTGCGCTACAGTGTGAACTAGAGCGTTAAAACAACAACTTATTCCACCCAACAATTCTCTGTTATACTTCGCTTTCACAAACATCATGACCATTTTCCCAGATTTTGTTGTGTGTTATATGAGGCCATTGTTATTGTACCTTGCCTGCCATGATCGTGCACCACATGCATGTCTCTCGTTGTAATCCGAGAAATATACCATTATTATTATTATTATTATTATTATTATTATTATCCACTTCACCAACTGCTGGTCCAAGCGTAGGGCTTCCAATTTGCGCAGGAGGAATCTGTGGTTAACCGAGTCGAAGACTTTCCTGAAATCGAGGTAGCACACTTTGACTCAATCCCCTGCATCCAACCTGTCTGTCACCTCGTCCAGAAATGATAGGAGGTTAGTGAGACACGACTTTCTGTTGACAAAGCCGTATTGTTGGCCAGCTATGAGGTGTTGGTCCTCCAAGTAACCCAGTAACTTCTCCCTTAGGAGCCGCTCGAAGGTTTTCAAGACAACCGAAAGCAGGTTTACTGGACGATAATTCGATGCAGCCGCCCTTGATCCTCCCTTGCGGATTGGCACCACTTCTGCCGTGGTCCAGTCGGCCGGCGGCATTACAGAGGCAAGGGATCGGTTGTAAAGCTGAGTAAGCGCACCTGCAATAATGTTAGCAATGAGCCACAGTATTGCTGGATGCAGCCCATCCGGGCCCGCGGACTTGTTCTGATCTAGTTGTTTCAGTGCTGCTTCTACCTCCTTTGCCTCTAATACAAACGGGGCCATGCGCTGTTCGGGGAGTCTACGCAGAAGGTCAGGCAACGGCCTTCCCACGTCCGTTAAGTGGACCTTCTCGAAGAAGCTCTTTAGTACTTCAGCCATCTCCTTGCTGGAGGCTGCGCTGACACCGTCTGCATTTACTACATTACCAACCGCAACTCTAGAGTGAGCCTTAGACTGCACATAGTTGTAGTAGGATTTTGGTCGCTGTTTGGCATTGCGATCAATCCTACTCTCGTATTCCCTTTAGCAGTGTCTCTGAGTCTTAACTACCCTTTCTCTCGCCACCAGACAACTCAGGTGCTGACGATGGCCACTCCTGTTCTTGAGACAGTTCCAAGCCCTCCGCTTTATGGCTTGTGCCCTGACTACCTTTGTTGCCCACCAAGGTGGACGGCCTTCTCTTCCGACCCTTCTCAGGGGAGCGAAAACGTCTGTGAGCCGGGTGATGCTGTCTTTGAATAACTGCCACTCCTGCTCCACGGTGTTGAGGCCATCTGTTTTCCACTGGATTGCCTCTGCTGCTTGCCTGAGCGCCAGGACATCCAGCTTCCTATAGCCTCTCCTGAGCTTATGTGGGACCGGGGGAGTGTTTCGTCCCGCGCATACTGAACTAAAATGAACTACCGTCCTGTGAAAACTGACCTGACCTGATCTATAAGCCAATGAGACTTCTCCGTATGTTAGTGCAGGAAAATTGCATTAGAAAGTGTTGGGAGCCAATGAAACTCACCGACAACACAAGAATCTGGACTCTCGATTGGCAAGAGCTACAAATCGTCCTGTGAGAACTAAACAACACGTGGCTTTCTACCGAAGGAACTCTGGACGCTCGATTTACCGTGGCTATCTCCTGTCCTATGCAAACTGACTGGCTGACTGAACTGAACTGAACTGAACTGAGCATTGGACTTAATTTGCGTTGTTTATTTAATTTGAAGGTCGGTTTTAACCAATCAGATTAGCCCACACTAAATTACGGGTGCTGCGTTTTGCTCGTGAATGGTTTGGTTTTTGAGGCCTCCTTTCCCTGTCAAAGTATGGAATACTTTCTTAGTGTATATCTCGGCTTTGATTTATCTCTATATTCCGGGTACGTTTCTATCTCTCATTTATATTTTCTTCGGTAGATAATTTATTAGTGGCAGGCACCGTCGAACAATTGCTTGAAAAAGGGACTCGCCTGATGGTTGGAGGACAGTTGAATGACGCCCTGGCTGTTTTTATGCAGGCAGTTGGTAAGTATGACGAGTTCGATAAGCTATACTCTATAGATGATGATCCCGAAAATCATCTGACTTACTTCAGGCGAGGCACCGCTTACTTCGCCTTAGGCAGCATACGTCTCGCTTACATGGATTTTACTCAATCCATAAAGCTAAATGCTGGTTTCAGACCGGTAAGTTTGATTCCTAATGTATTTACATGTGATTACCTCCAGGCCTTGAAACAAAGAGGGAATGCTGCAATAAAAATGGGGAAGCTGCAGGAAGCTAAATCTGATTTCGGCTCACTGGTAAGTCGATCGTTTTTATTTTGATGTCCCAGACTCCTGATGACCCGGAAGCCGCTGCCCAACTCACTTTTATAGACGAGTTGGATATCAAATACAACCTTGCTGAAAGACATTTTGAGAACAGAAATTTTGAAGAATCGATGTTTTTGCTAAATTCGCTCATCGATACGATAAGTTTTGATCATAAGCTTCGGAAAATGCGTTCGAGATGCTACTTTGAGCAAGGCGATATTCAAAAGGTAATTGTTAACTATTTCTTCTAACGCTGATTTAGGGTATTCAAGACCTTCGTAATGCCGTCCATATGCTCAATGACAATAGAGAGGGCTTATTAGAGCTGTCGGTCACAATGTACGAAAACGGAATGGCAGCACAATCTCTTGAAGAGATCCGTGAATGTCTCCGTCTCGATCAAGATGACAAGGAGTGCATGAAGCACTATAAAAAAATAAAAAAGCTTGCGAAAGCCGTAAGCAAAGCGCAGGAGGCTCACGAAGCATCGCAGTTCTCCGGATGTATTCAAAACGCATTGGAGATGCTAAAACTGGAGCCCGACAGACCAGCGTACCAGGCTCAAGCCAAACAATATCTATGTCACTGTTATGCTAAAGTAAGTCCTTTCACTGAAACTGAATGTCTGTTGGTAATTCAAGTTGGGGTTCGCACGCTCATTCCTCGGGTTTAGCTAACCCATTTACGAGCAGGTACACAAGGAGATTCAGCCCAGTCAGGTCTCNNNNACAAGTACGCTCTTTCTGCAAATAAAATGAAAGGCTCTTCGTAGACTCCCCGTTCATTGTTTTTGGATTTTCAATAGCTTTTAACCTAACCGATTACCGGGGAGTTACTCGATTAGTACGCTGACGACCGTCTGCTTGTTCGACTGTGTGGAGGATGCAAAAAGAGCACTTGGCAGATTAGCAGGTTGTTTCGCTCCGTTCGGCATGTGCTTTGCACCTTCAACGTGCAAAGTGATGCCACAAGAACGGGTGTTTCCGAGTTCTGCTCTGAAACTAGACGGTCAGGAATTAGCTATAGTTGACTGCTTCTCGCACTTAGGTAGCTGCGTGACAAACGACGGAGATAACCACCCGCATTTCCAAGGCTCGAGCATCGTACGCAAGACTAAAACACCTGTGGCGACGACGAGGTGTTTCATTGAAGCTGAAAAGTCGCTACTGTACGATCGGTTCTGCTTTACGGTTGTGAGACCTTGAATTTGCGGGTAGAAGACATCCGTCGCCTGGTGGTTTTGGACAATCGATGCTTACGTCGTCTGGCCCAAGTGGGACGGAGTGAGCGGGTTATTAAGTTGGAAGTATGTTGTCGGGTATTTGGGAATACCTCAAACAAGAACTCGCTATCGAATCGAATCACACATTCTCACTTACCTTGCATGCAATATGAGTTTGGCAGCGATCAGTGAAGTTCGCTTCGATGTACGACGCTGTACAATGATGATGATGATGATGACCGATTGCGCTAACAGTCAATTGACATGAATCATTCTATTGTGAGTTCTGTACACACAGAACTTGATGTTCCTCTTAATGACTAGTTTCCGCTGCCTTGCGGGTCAGACTTTTGGGTCAAAGGCTTCGATTAGGGTTCCCAAAGAAAAACCCCTTCGTCTGTATGGGCTTCTGCAAAGTATATCGTGTCCTAAAGTCTTGGGCATTCATTCGGAAAAACCCTCCGATCTATCTGGTTCTCCCTCTCAATCCCGAATACTCCCGGAGGTCTCCTGTTTGCGCCACCCATCGAATATCACTCAGCATTTTACCAGCAAGGCCAAATAGCCAGAAGTTATAGGATTTTTAAAGCCGAATTCCGTTTTTACTTAGCCGTGTTCAATTTCCGCACCTTCTACCAGATTGGTCAACAAGCTGCCCTGGCTAGAACCCTTGAAACTTTCAATTTAGATGTATGCTGTGTTTCCAAAACACGCATACAAGACTCTACTTCAGTTAACTTCCTGCACTCTCCTGAACCAACCTCAACCTCACACTTTACCCTTTGTGTGTCAGACAATTCGGCATCTGAAGCTCGCGGTGTTGCTGGTGTCGGAATTGCGCTAAGTGCCAAGACTGACTGCTCGCTTCTTGACTGGATTCCAGTCAGTAGCCGACTGTGCGCTGTACGCCTCAACGGTTTACCACAGATCAATGGCTACAGAACGAAGCGTGGGAACGAATCAGAAAGGCTTCTTGGCGGACCACGTGCAACTGGACGGACAACGGAGATCGCTTACTTCAACTCTGTGCAGACCACGGACTGTCCCTTTCGAGCACCAACTTGTCACACAAGAAACGACACCACCTTACATGGAAACCGCCAATATCTTCACAGCACTGGACCCAAATCAACCACATCGCCATCAGTTACCGTTTGAAGGCGTTGATTCAAGACTGCCGTTCTTACTGGTTAACACCTGTGGATACGGACCAGGCTTTGCTACGAGCCAAATTCTCCTTACGCCTGCCAAACAACTGCAAAACGCCACCGACAACGGATACCCACGATACAATGTCAGCGATTACTGCAAATCGACGTTCGAAGCGGAACTCTTCGATCGCCTGTCAGTTCCACCCCCAGCCGAAGGACTCAATGAACACTAGAAGCAAATCAAGGACTCTATGAAAATGCCATTAAAAACAACGTCGGATCCTCGCGCAGGCTCAAAACACAAACGATGGATCTCATCGACCTCGGCTGCCCTGTTGGACACTCGCAGAACTCTTCCTCCTGATACCACATATGACAGCGCGCAAATCCCTCAAACACCAGCTCATCAAGAGTCTGAGGAATCATCATCGTACAGCGAAATACAGAGAAGCGAACTTCACTGATCGTTGCCAATTCGGCAATGCATATGCATTGGGGTTTGATGGACGGCTGCTGCTAGGGTATCCAGTCACTAAGCAGTCTCAGGAATGACCGCGAGAAGAAAAGCAAGCGTAATTGAAGTAATTAAGGAATCCAATGGCACACTGATTCACGATCAGCAACGCCGTCGTGATCGATGGGCTCAACACTTCGAGGCTCAGTTCCACTGACCCCCATCGACATCTGACCCACAACCCTCCACCTCAACTGGGCAAGTACTGCCAGATGACATCAACCCTCCATCTGAAATGGAGGTTACCCGCGAAATAAATTGTCTCAAAAGGTATAAGGCTTCCCACCACGACGGGTTGTCCCCATCGGTTTTTAAAGATGGAGGTTTAGCCTTGGTTTTGAAGTTAACAATACTGGAATCAGTGTGGGAGAGCGAACAGATCCCAACGGAATGGTGTGAATCGGTAATCATACCAATTTACAAGAAAGGTGACAGGTCCTCTTGTGAAAACCACAGGAATTAGTTTAATCAGCATCGTTTCTAAGCTTCTTGTTGGGATCATACTCCGTCGATTGTCTGCCGCTCGTGAACAGTGCACACCTAAGAACCAGGCTGGTTTTATACCTAGTTGAGGTTGTATCGATCACATCTTCACTCCTCACCTAACTCTGAAGCACCGACATTCCTTTCATAGACCCACCATCTATGTCTTTCTCGATCTGAGAGTGGCTTTCGACTCAGTCCACCGCTCTAAACTCTGGTGCTGCCTCTCCCGGAAGGGTGTGCCCGAGAAATTGATTTCAATATTGCGATCCCTCTGTACTCATACTCATAGTCGAGTCCGAGCTTACGTCACTTTTTCGCCCCAGTTCACCACGGAAAGTGGTGTTCGTCAGGGTTGTCCTCTCTCTCCTTTTCTGTTTAACTTTGTGATAGATTTGATCATGGAAACAACCCTATCCTCTTGCGAGGATAGTGGCATCGATTTACTCCCACATGGTAGACTGTCTGATCGAGAGTATGCAGACGACATTGTGCTCCTAAGTAAAAATCCACGTGAGTTGCAAGCTTTTCTGGATAGCATGAATGCCAGCGTACCCAGGTTCGGTATGTGTTTTGCACCTTCAAAGTGTAAAATGTTACTACAAGACTGAGTTTGTCCAGCACCCAGACTCACTAACTGCGGAAGTAGTAGAGCAAGTAGATAATTGTTGTTATCTGGGCAGCTACATCTCACCCGATGGACGCCTCACGGATGAAGTGTCTGATCGCATACAGAAAGCTCGATTGGCATTTGCCAACTTGAGACATCTGTGGTGCCGTCGCGACATCCGGCTGTCTGTGAAGAGTCGCGTGTATGCCGCGGCAGTTCGGCCAGTTCTGCTATACGGCGCAGAAACTTGGCCATTAAGAAAACAGGATAAAAGTAAACTGGTGGTGTTTAAACACCGCTGTCTACGCAGCATTGCACGAATCTTGTGGGACAGCCAGACGAGCAATGCTGAGTTCAGGCACAAAGTTTTAGGCAGTTGCGGTCGCCCACTGGAGCAAATGGTCGACCTCCATAGATTACTTTGGTTGGGGCATGTGTTACGCATGTCACCCGATAGGTTGCCACCACGAGCGATGTTTGCTGAGTCAGGTAGTGGCTGGAATAAAGCCAAAGGTGTTCAAGATAAAACCCATGAGGGTATGAAAACCATAGGTCCTGTTAGGCTCTCTGGCTGGGGACCTCGGGATGATCGTACCCGATGGTTAGGGACACTGAGTGAAATGGCTGGGTGTCGTAAACAGTGGTGTTGGTGCATCTTCTCAATTTCTTTGCATCATTAGTCCACTAAACTTCTCAATTTTCTCTTCGGTCCTGCTTTCAACCTTCCTGTTTTCCTCCTATTGTTCACCCAAATGGGCAGCCAAAAGCGACGCATGGAAGTGTATCCTAATAGTTGTTCAAAATGAAAGCTTATTGCTTAGTTTTTTGTCCATTGAAATCAAAGATTTTAGAACAATTTTCAAGAGCAAATAGTCTCTGCATTATTATGCCTACCTGCTAGTCTAATAACTTAGTATAATTCACTCCATGTTCGTACTCATTTTTCAGTCAAACAATGCTGATGGTATTTCGTACTGTGAGGAAATCACCAAGATCTTCCCACGTAATCCGGATTATCAGTGTGATCTTGCGGAATCTTATATCAATGGCGACCGATTTGACGATGGTGAGCCTAAATTGTTCTTTTGGTGTATCTTAAAACTCTGTATAAATTAGCTATCTTCCGCTTGAATTTGCTCTCAACATTCTAGTCTTCATTCTGTTGTTTTATCCAAATGGGCAAACAAAAGACAGCAACCAAAACCGGCGCAAGAAAGTGCATGGTTAATGGTTGAAAGAACTGAACTGAATGAACACACCAGATTGATTGATTTCGTTTTTGCAAACGATAAAAATGTGATTATGGGTGGAGTAAAATGCTATCTAAACGGTGTACCATACTGTTCCATGAGTACAGAGTTCGCTGTTCAGCGGCGTTTATTTTGACTTAATTCCACGAAATGATCTATTATAATGTGTGAAGTTAACCCTTGTTCAAATATTACTTTTCAGCCATTCGAGTTTGTCAATCCATCTTGGACGAGGACCGAAGAAATCAACGTGCGCGAGAACTTTTACAGCGAGCACAAAAGCTGTTGAAAAATAGCAAACGGAGAGACTACTACAAAATCCTGGGCGTTAGTCGATCGGCCAGCAAGGCTGAAATACTAAAAGCTTATCGCAAGTTGGCAGCAAAATGGCATCCAGATAAATATGAGGGGAAAGACAAAAAGGCTGCAGAGGCGAAATTCATTGAAATTGCCGCTGCAAAAGACGTCCTCACAGATCCGGGTGAGTTACTATCCAGTAGACTGCATTTGGCCAGGTATGTCTATAAGTATATCTTTATGAGAATAAGAAGCACACGACCGTTTTCGCGGTTCTTGCCGTCAAGCATGTGAATCTGGTAGTCCTTTGTCTTTTCATTAATATACTTGTACCCAGGAAGTGTATTTTCGTCACA